AGCAGGGGCTGCGGGTCGGGAGTGAGGGGCACCGGCGGAGCTGGGGGTGGAGGGGGGGAGCCCAGGGCTGGGCTAGCAGGGGGCTGCGGGTCGGGAGTGAGGGGCATCGATGGAGCTGTGTACTGTACTGGGCCTGTCCCATTGGGTCCCCCTTTTAATGGTTTCTGATGTTGTGTCTTTCTGCCAGGTGTGGAGTTCGGGGCTCGGATGATCAACATTGACAGCAAACAGATCAAGCTGCAGATCTGGGACACGGTGAGACGGGGCAGACACTGGCAGGGGAGGTTGGATTCACAGTTGTGGGGAGCAGTGGGGCTGGGAGACGTAGCTGAGGAGGTGTGGGGGTAGGTAGCTAGGAGCAGTGGGAGTAATGGGGCTGGGAGCTGTGGGGTGGTGGGACATGGAGCTGAGGGGGTGGTGGGACATGGAGCTGTGGGGTGTGGTTGCACGGAGGGGGTTGTACTGGAGCTGTGGCGCAGGGGAGGAGGTGGGTGTGATGCAGGGGAATAGGGTGACTGGGGGAAGCCAGGTGTGGGCTGGGGGAGCCGGGGGACCCAGCAGGGAAGTGGAACCAGGTGAGCAGCTGCATTCACCCCCTTTTTCTCCCATCCAGGCTGGGCAGGAGTCTTTCCGTTCTATTACCCGCTCCTACTACCGTGGTGCAGCTGGAGCGCTGCTGGTCTATGACATCACCAGGTAGGGCCTGGCTCCCTCACCCACACTCCCCTCCCTCATGCGCTCAGAGCCTGGGGGCCGTCTGTCCCCGCAGCACCTCTCAACCCCTTCTCTGCCCCGCAGGCGGGAGACCTTTAACCACCTGACCTCGTGGCTGGAGGACGCTCGGCAACATTCCAGCTCCAACATGGTCATCATGCTTATCGGCAACAAGAGGTAACTGATTGGGGTCCAGGGCAGGTCCCTGCAGAGATCTGCTGTCAAGGAGCTGCGGGAGTGGCCAGGGGGTTTCTCATCTCCGGGGGATGTAGGAACCCCGGTGGGGTGGGGCTGATATCTGCAGGGTCGGATGGGAAGCCGGCTTTCCGTGAGGGGATTCTCTGGGCGGTGCAGGGATCCAGGGTGAAGCATGCTCATCTCTGCCAAGACAGGCTCCACAGCCGAGGGCAGGGCTCCCAGCATGGCCTTTGGGAGCCCTAGGACTCACTGGGGCAGGACCCCTGCCCATCCATGCTCACCGCCCACCCCTGGTGTCCCCGCAGTGACCTGGAGTCCCGGCGGGATGTGCAGAAAGCAGAGGGAGAGGCCTTCGCGCGGGAACACGGGCTGGTCTTCATGGAGACCTCGGCCAAGACGTCCACCAACGTCGAGGAGGTGACCAAGGGGAAAGGGGGGCTGGGATCACGGCCTGGGACTGCCCCTTCCCTCCCGCTCTCCCACCCCATTCCTCCCTGTTCTGCCCACCCCATTCCCCTTCCCACACCCTCCGCTCGGCCAAGACAGCTGTCAGTGGCAGAAGGGACTAGAAGGGACCTGGGGTCACCTCCCACAGTGCCCCCTTCCACACCCCATTACACCCAGGAGCCCCCTCTCCTTACAGCAGGGCTAGGGGGTGCACCTGGGAGCCACATCCTGGGTGCGGGGGACAGATGCCCCCAGGCCAGCCCGCTTTCAGCCCCACATGTGTTGGGTTTTCAGGCCTTCATTGACACAGCCAAGGAAATCTACAGGAAGATCCAGCAGGGGCTCTTTGACGTCAACAACGAGGTGAGCCAGACCCCCCCACTTCTTGTCTGCCTTCTGCCTGGGGGGGTGCCCCGGCACTGCCATCCTGGATGTCTGGGTTCCCACTTCCTCTCCCAGGCATATGCTGCGGGAGTGAGTGCCCCATGCTGCTATCTCGGATGCCTGGGTCCCTTCCCCTAGGGACCAGGAGCTCTGTGAGATCTTCTATGGGTGATGGGATCCCATTCCCAGACCCAGTGTCTTGTTGCAGGGCCCACAGAGGCAGCGCCCTCCCCTGTCCACACCTGAGTAACATCCCCTCTCTCTTCTAGGCGAATGGCATCAAGATCGGGCCCCAGCAGCCATCGGGGGCAGCTCCTGGCGCCGGCTCTCGCCACAGCCCCCAGGGCTCAGGAGACAGCTCGGGCTGCTGTTGAGCCCCGCGTTGATGCCAGTGCCCCTGGAGTGGGGGGGTCACCCTCTGCTCCCCTGGGGCTGAGACCAGCCCGCCCCAGTCCCGGGTGGGGAAGGTGGCTCCCTGGCTGAGCTGTGGAGGTGGGAGGGGGCTCATGACTCCTGTCCCAACCCCATGGAGGGGAACAGGTGTCCCCTGACGCACACCTGGGGGGTGGTTAAAGACCCTGCCCATGGTTTCACACCCCCCAAACATTCCTTCTTGTAACTTGGGGGGGGAGGGCAGAGCCTGGTCTGGAGTCTCCCCGCATCAGTGCCTTCTCGCTTCAGCTGCATCTCTTGTTGCCCGGGCCCTGGTGAGGCCCCCGCTTCCCTGGGGCTTGTGAGACCCAACTGGGGGCCCCCCACCCTGTTTGTGTGTTCCTGGCCAGGTGCCCAGCCCCCACTCCTCAGCCTGTGTCGGCTTTTATCGTGTACTCCCTCTCTGTGGCTCGTCTTATTAAACATGTGCATGTCTGTAACCCACACTCGCTGCATCTCTGCTTATGGGGTGGGGCACCATAGCGTGGTCCTTCCCCTCCCAGAGCTGGGGAGAGAACCCAGGAGTCCTGGCGCCCAGCCCCCCTGCTCTAACCACTAGACCCCACTCCCCTCCCAGAGCTGGGATAGAACCTAGGAGTCCTGGCTCCCAGCCTCCACACTCTAACCTGCTAGACCCCACTCCCCTCCCAGAGTCAGGAGAGAACCCAAGAGTCCTGGCTCCAACCCTAACCCATTAGACTCCACTCACCTCCCAGAGCTGGAGAAAGAACCCAGGAGTCCTGGCTCCCAGCACCCCCTGCTGTAACCTCCTAGGCTGCACCACTGATGGGAGATTTATTCTCTTGTTGGCTTGGCAGGGCTGAGTTTTTCTAAGCTTCCTGGGGGCTTCAGGCACTGAGTTCCCCATTCACTGGACACCCAGTTCCCTTAGGAAGCTCTGAACATCTGGGCCCCACGCTGACAACACAGAGGTACAGACACTGGTGATGGACAGTCTACAGTAACTGGTGCTGCTGGGGGAGCGTTTAACAGTCAGGCCTGGGGTTTTCAAAGACCCCCAACGCCCCATGTCTCTCAGCTCAGGTCAGCGTGGCTCCCAGAGGGAACGGACACCCGTGTGCCTAGCCTCCATTACTGCCCCTCAGCTCTGGGGAAAGCTCCCTAAAGATACCCCTTCACCTCCTCCGAACCCCCCGTGCCCTGATGCAGGCAGCTGGAGGGCTGTGATGACCGGTGGCTAAGCACTGCATACATCCTGCTAGGCAGGTTAGGATGGGTTACCTCATCTCCCTTCACCCACCTGCAGAGTCTGGAAGGTCTTTTAGCCTTTACCTGCATGGGAACATTGCACCAGTTACACCCTGATTGGTTTGAACTTGGTGCTGGACCCTACGATACCTGTTCCCAGTTGTAAACTAAACTGAAATAGGCCCCTTCTAAACCCAAATGGGAGACAGTGCTGTGGTTTGTTCTGGCTTGGATGAACAATTTTTGTTTCTTCAACATTTTAAACTTTTAAAATTGTTTTTGTTACAAAATTCAAAACAAGTTTTGTTTCAAAGTGTTTGTAAACAAATATTTGCTTAATTTTAAAAAAAGGATCTCCTGGGTTTTTCCTTATCTCGTTTTTTTTTTTTTTTTTTTTATTTCCTTTCTTTCCTTTTTTTCTTCACGGGGGGGGGGGGGGGAGAGGAGGAGGAAAGGAGGACAATGATCACTTTTTTTTGTTAGAACATTTTTTTCACTTTTCTCACTGGGAAAATGTAAACACATGAGAAACAGAGGGGTTCTTCCCCCCACATTCTCCAACTTTAAAAATCCTTTAAACTCCTTTTCCCCCCATAGAAAAAGCAGGAAAATAAAAATTTGTGAGAAAGTTGACATTTCCCCACAAATTTCAAACCAAAAATTTGCAATATTTTCCCCTTCAAAATATTTTAAATTGTTAAATGTTTATGGGAAGGGGGAATCTATGTATATATAGAGCTGGAATCCTATTTTTCAGCAAAACATTTTTGTCCAAAACCTAATGTTGAAGAAACAAAAATTGTTCATTTTCTGTTGAAGCTTTTTGCAAAACAAACTTTCGACCCATCTCGCAAGTGCAGGAGACAGTTTCAAGCAGCGTGTTGGCTTTGTTAGGGACAGCCCCAGCTTGCAAGCCTAGGGACTTGCACGGTCTGTCTCTAGCTGTGTCTGCACTATGCAGGCTATGCCAGCATGCGCTGCATCTCCAGAAGTTTTTCTGCCAGTGGAGGAATGTGACCTCACCAAACAACATGAGTTGTGCTGACAAGCCCTCTTCTGCCCACACAGCTGGGGCTTTGTTGGCATAGCTGTGTTGCTAGGTTGTGTGTTTTGTTCACACCTCCGGCTGACATGTCCATTAAGGGTAGACAAGGTCTTAGCATCTCCTCGGACAGGGCTGACCTGAGGGAGTCCAGCCCCTTTTTAATTTTAAAAAGAAAATGAGCAATTTTAATTTCATTCAAACATTTTGATTAGCTGTTTGGTTGTTTTTTTTCCCTATTTCTGGGGGGAATAGCAGGAATCAGGGGAATTCCTCCTGTCCCTAACTTTTACATCCCCTCCCTCTTTTCCTGGGGCAGAGAAGGGGGGGCTACTGGAGGAGAGGAGGAATTCCCCCACCGTTTGTAGAATACAAATTTTGACTTTGTTTAAAAAACAATAAATCTTTTTCTGTGGGAAGTGGCTTTGCGGAAACACCCCTTTGGTATTAAAAAGCTTTTTTTGGAGGAAAATGTGTTGAGCTGCTTCCAGTCTCAGCATCGAGCTGGAAGGGCTGAGAATCCCAGCTGGGGGATGCTTTCACCAGACACCAGTCACTGGGCTTAGTACAAAAGTTAGACTAGGTGAGCCACTGCTCCCTGATGGCCTCGGGTATGGAAGGACCAGAGCGGTTTTGTGGGCATTTCTCCCTGCATTGCTCAGACACCTTGGAGCTGCACTGGGCCATCTGGGTGTAAGCTGTGGCCCCACATAGGCTGGCTGGGCTGAGCCCCCGGGAAGCGCAGCAGTGACTACTACATGGGTCACAGAGGCTAATGTTTCTGGGCATCTCTCTGGGGAGAATGAATTTGACTGGTCACCCATCCAGCTGTCTGTCCTTCCCCCTACAGTGTCTGTCTGTCCTAATCTACCCACCCTGTCCTTTCACTGCCATTACATATCTCTACCTGGTGTCTGTCTGTCTCTGTTTCTCCATATTTTCTAGCCATCCATACACACCTGCTTTTTTCTCTGCCTCTGTCCTGCCATCCCTTCTCAGTCTGCCTGTCTGCCAGGACTCCTCTTGATTTCTATGTGACCCTGCATGTCTAATAAACCCTGCCCCTGCCTCAATTGTGCCTGTTCTATTTGAATCCCACTGGGGCTCAGTTTCCTTTGTGAAGACTGGGTCCTGGTCCAGACGCTGCAGCTCTGGGACCAGGGGCGTGGCGCTGACTTCAGGCAGTGACCTCTGAATGAAGAGCAGAAATGGAGCAAGGCAAGCAGGCTTTTAACCCTCCAGGGTCAGGGGCAAATAGCTTTGTTCCCACCCTGCGATGGTGCCTCTGAGAGTGCCAATGCAGGGGGCAAGGTGGGGCAGAGACCCAAAGAGTCCCGCGGGAGGTGAACACTGTTGCAGGGTTTCTCCCCTCGCTGACAGAAGCTCTATTGGCCACACCCCGCTCCTAGCTGTAATATCCCCAGGGACCTGGAGGGGAGCAAGCCCCACCATCTCTCTGTTCACTGCCCTGGAATTTCCTTCACATCTCCCAGAGCCCAGAAGGCGCCTAGACTAAAGGCCTGGCTACACACGGAGTTATCCAGATGAACCCCACATGAAGAACAGTGCCTGACTTCTGTTTATCACCGTGCATGCTTTGCCAGGGTAACTATAATAGCTAGACCAGCAAACCCTCCTAGTGTGAACACAGTTTATATCAGCAAGAAAAGATTGTGCTTTTATTGGCACTTCCAACTGATGCCTTGTATACATTAGAAAAGCTTTTCTGGCATAGCTGGACCAGTCTAGCTACACAGGCAAATCCTCCTAGTGGAAACAAAAGTGCTCACATGCCAGTATAAATCCATCTGCTCTCGAGTGTAGAACAGCATAGGTATGTGGGTAACAAAACCACACCTGGTGAAACAGCTCTGCCAATATCAATGGTAAATGTAGACCAGGTCTCCCCCGAATGAAAGAGCTATACCAGTAGAAGAGGAGTATTGCTGGTATAGCTGTCTCTGCACTAAGAGCTTTGCTAGCACACCTTTGTGAATCAGGGATCACACTGCATCACAACCCTGACCCATAAAACTGTGTCAGCAGAAGGCTGTAGTGTAGACAGAGCCCGAAGGTTTATGTACACGTGTAGTTTTCCTGACTATAACTCCAGAAGTGGGCATTTTTAGGGGTTTCTACATGGGGATGTTAATCCAGATTATAGCAGGGCATGAATTTAAAGCGGAATAGTTTAGAATAACTTCCTGCGTTGGATGCTCTTATTCTACAAGCAAGTCTTGTTTACATGGGGGCACTCAGAAAAATTAGTCTGCATTAAAGATGTGAATTACAGAATAAGAGCATCCACACATGGAGTTTTTCAGAATAGCTGTTCTACTTTAAATTCACACCCTGCCTTAATCCAGATTAATATCTTGTTGTAGACAAGCCTAAGCATGCTTGCAGGAGTTAATCAAGAGCAACTCCATGTGTAGAACAGCCTTTAAGATTCTTAAAACCAGGATTGACACCACTTTATTCCTTTGAAAAATGGGAATTAGAGGGCTAAAGTAAATATCTCCTGTGGTACTACACAGAAATAGGGTTATGTGGCGGTGGTGGGGGGGGAGGGGGAACTGCACCTCCCACTCAGCTACCAGCTCTGTCTCCCTCCTGACCCCTCCATCCCCCCCACAGGGCTAGAGGGCAAAGGGGCTCTTCAGTAGGTGAGGGTCATAGAGGTATGAGCTGCCCCATTCATCTCAGTGTGGTGCTTTCGGCTGACAGATTTATCTTGACACCATACCAGGGAATGTGAGCTAACCCATTCATCTCAGTGGGGTGTTCACCTCCCCCATATCCTGGGGTGCACTACTTTTAAGGCAGATTACCAACATGCATGGATTGGGGGAGGTTCTGTCTCTAGAACTCCTTGACCAAATTACTCCAAATTCACAGCACAACTCCTACTCCAGCTCCTGTCGGTGGTCTACCAGGAATCAAGAGGATCTCACTGTATGTGGATTTCAGTGCATTTTGAAGATTAAAAGAAGCTAATTTTGTGTGGGGCAGTCTTGGGAACTGTTGGACCAAATGACCCTAAACATGGACCACTAATTCTTCCCCTAGGCTTAATGAAGCAGAGCAATTTTCAAGACAGTCTGAGTATGCCTGCAGATTTTAGAGCCTTTTGAATTAGCTACTCATTAACAAAAAGTTCTGCCCTTGAGGTGACTCCTCCACCCCACTTTTA